TCTAACAAATTGTCAAATATTGACCACGTCGACAACAGTGATGATTACGCAGAAAACTCGTAGGATTTTAAAACGTTATTTACTGTAGTCTATAGCAGCGGCTGTTGTGTACCAAGTTAAACGCAGCTAGTGGTGCGGTAGTACTTATAGAATTCTTCATTTCGACGCAGAGACGAAGTATTAACAAATATCGTAACTCGAACGCAAACATCGAGTGAAATTGCGGTTTGCAAACGGACATTAAGCGCAACAGTAGGAATGTTTTCGCTTTTAGCAGGAAATGAATTTCGTTGAATATGCATATTTGAATTTCAATGCGAATCACGAAATGCATCAAATTTTCCTCAGCCGCAGACGGATTTTCCAAGCAGTAATCTCTCTGACCATATTAGGGGCCGAGGATGGAGAGAATTACCTTAAAAACGAAAAAAAAATCAATAGCCGCGAACACGTAAAAAAACAACCTAATAAAATAAAATCGATACGAGCCGTGTCACATGGGAAAGGGACAACCGAGGACAATCACCCCGCTAGTGTGTATAGAGAATATACGCGCTAACGCGACAACGACCTAATTTTTGCGACTTGCTAATATGAATTGACGAAGCGATTAGCGACGGACCTCATAATAGCGATCGCGCACAGTCAGATCTTGTCACTAGCAGCAACAGCGGGAATAAAAGGGAGACACAGACAACGAGCTTGATCCACGGCATGAAACCATAGCGAGACGGAGATACGGACGAAGCCTACGTGGCCAACAACCTGTCGTTGAAAACGCTTACGAATTCATCGACGTCGCGCGAGTAGAAACGTACAATTAGAAAATGCGAAACAGAATCTAACAGCGAGAGTAATTGCTGCATCGATGGACATCTGTCTACATCATCGCACAACACAGAAGTGTCATCACGAGCTGGTCTGCGTTAACTAGATAAGACGGTGATCCTTCACACCTATATAGCGCTCCACTGTACACTATATCAAGAGCTAATAATACCTATATGTACCTATACCTATACCTATATGGACCTATGCCTATACCTATACCTATACCTATACCTATATGGACATATATGGACCTATGCCTATACCTATACCTATATGGACATATATGGACCTATGCCTATACCTATACCTATACCTATAACTATACTGACCTATACCAATACCTATATGAACCTATATGGAATATGAACCTATATTGAAACCCTACACATGCAACAGCCAGCGATGTGCGTGGCGCCCCACATCATTGCCACCCTCCCCCCCCCTTCCCATTCAATTACCCGGACAACTCTAGTCGGTTTGTCACGCGTCACTTACAGTGTATCGTCTAGTGTGATCGTATGACTGCGCGCATTTATAATGAGATGAAATAATTTATTCGTACGAGAGAGCGGATGTGTCATTGTGCACGACCGAATTAAGCCAGGGGGCGCTGTGGGAAACGCCGTAGCTCTAACGGTAAGGACTAGTGCTGAGAACAATATATACAATGTATATCTAATATATATTTGAGTTCGTATGTATCTATGTATCTATGTATGTATGTATCTTCCCTATAGGCGGCCAAACCGC